CCGGCCGACGCTGCGGCCGCCGAGGAGCCCCGGCCCGCCGCGGGCAGCGTGCCCAGGCCCAAGCACGACTTCCTCGAGCGCCTGCCCAGCTCCGTCCGGGGCCGCGTCCTGGCGCTCAAACAGCTGCAGAAGCGCTGCGACAAGATAGAGGCCAGATTCGACCAGGAGTTCCAGGCCCTGGAGAAAAAGTACAACGACATCTACAAGCCCCTGCTCGCCAAGATCCAGGAGCTCACGGGCGAGATGGAGGGCTGCGCGTGGGCCTCGGAGGGGGCGGACGGGGTCGGGGACAACGAGGACGAGGACGAGGACGGGGATGACGACGAGGACGACAGCGAGGACGGGGACCAGGGGGCCGCCGCGGGAGCCAGCGGGGCCCCGGCGCCCGGCGACCCCAGGAAGTAAGAGGGCGGGTCCGTGGAGACGGCGACAGACCCCTGTCCTGTTCCTTAACATCCGCGGACTCTGCGAGGCTCAGGTTTCGGACCGAAATACAATGTGTATTCCGACATTCCCCAGTTACACTGAAGCAATTAGATCCCCGCCAGCCCATTTCAGAGTTGACTTTCCTCTTGGAACACAAGGAGGACATCAACACGTGTTAGAGGGGTGGATTAAGCTAATTTTCTTTTCATCTGTCGTCTGTGAGGACTCAAACGAAGGCTTAAACCGGGTGTCAGATGTCAAGTAAGGCACGTCACCTTGAAACCCATTCATCACGCAGTCATTACTCCTGGGACACCCGAGCCAGGGCTGAACGCGTTTTCCACGCTTAATTCTTCGATTTCTTCACTTCTGACGTTTCCCAAAGCAGAAAAAGCAAACCTGAGAAAGACGTCATCTTTAAGACTCTGCTTTTCCTTTTTTTTTTTTTTCTTTTCCCCGTACTGGGAATCAAACTCATGACCTCAGGCTTGCCAGGCAGGCACTGTGCCGCTGAGCTAAATCCCCAGCCCCAAGACTCTGCTTTTCCAATCTTGACATCACTATATGCTTCTGAGGAGAAATGGAAGACAGAAAGCTGCGATTTGAGATCGTGACACTATTGCTAATGACACCAGGAAAACTGCCACTTCAAGTTCTGATAACTGTTCTGAACATGTGAGTTTCGAGAAACAACGTGGTCTCAAGAAAGAGGGTGTATACTGTATAATATTGTCCACATATGCATTCATTAATTACTGTCTCATGTTTATGTGTTTTCCTAGTAGTGTCTATTTACAAAGGCATAAAAACTACCCCAAATGTTTAAGTATTAAATCACTCTAGCATTTTAGAAATATTAATTTACTTGAACAGAAATAGAAAGTAGCAAATTCTGTAAAGCATGTGTATTCAGTGTTGCGTAGTTTGATCCTTTTTCTTGTGTAGTCTTTCTGTCATGTAGTTCTAGCCGTGAAAATCATCAGAACTCCTCACTGAAGCTAGGAGGCTTGGAAAAATATATATACTTGAAGAAATAATCCAAGTGTGTGTACCAACCCCCAGCTCAGAAGTAGAAAGGGTTTAAGTTTGCTTGTATTAGCTGTGCCTTCATTATTTTGCTATGTAAATGTGACAAATATAAAATGGTGCATAATCAAATGTTACTTTTGGCATACAGGAAGGATTTTTAAGAAGAACATATTTAATATGAGACTTTTAGCTTCTTTGTGGGTTTTGAATTATGTGTCAGCCAATGTTCTATAAAAAAAAGCATAAAGTTGTTTACTACTGTGGTGTTAATAAAATAGTATTTTCAAAAAAAGACTCAGTATGCTCATCCATAAAAAGGGACAATATGCCCTTCCTCACAATTATTTTGAAGAACAAGTGAGTTATAACACACAAACCCAAAAGAACAGTGTCTAACACCTACTAAGTGCTGAGTAAAAGTTTCAGTTGTTATTATTACAAGAAAGATAAAGACACTGGAAATTTTGCCTTCTTCCTTTCCTGTTTCAAAAGGGGAGAGGTGGCCATCACCATTATGGCCCTAACATTTATAATTCTTTATTAAAGAAGAATGTGCCCTTTAATTCAGAAGTATACGAAATTCAATAAATATCTTGTTTTGGGCATCTCACCTGAAAAAAAAATTTAAAGACAAGCTTTGGTCTCCTCCCAGAAACGATAAAAGACTTTAATGTGACACAAATCCACAAAAAAAGGTTATTTCAACTGTGGGCATTATAAATAAAGCAAAAAACAAAAAATTAGACTCCAGAAAAAAATTTGACATCAGATGACAAGCTTCCATTTCAGTTAAGGGTTAAAGCTGCACAGAAGCAAAATTTGTTTTTGCAGGGAATGGAACATAGCTCTGACTAGTTGCTAATGACAACAGTTGGATAGAAACAACCTTAGGCAATGTTAATCTTTGCTACGGCCTGGCCAACCAAAAGAAAATCAAAGTAACATATAAGTCATGGTTAAGTTAACTATTAATATAAGCCCCCAAATTAATGAAATACAATATTCATTTCTTATCTCTAGAAATGGATGAGACAGTCATATATTATTTTTTAGGTGTGATAAAAAGCAAAGCATTAAAATATAAATAAAAACTACTGAGGCAGGGGCTTTGGGGGCAGGTATATGATTATGTAGAAAAAGTCAAGAGAATCAACTGGAAGAATACTCAATAGAATCAGTATGATGAACTGATTCTCAGATAAACATAAAAAAAAAGTAATTATGTCGAGGCACTTAAAAATGATAAAAAAAATATGGGAAAGGTGCAGTTTAAAATAAGTCAAAGTATTTCTAACAGTCCTAATAAAAAAATATATATAAACCTACGTGAAAAGAAAAAACAGGATTTCACAAAGAAATGTAACATAAGCTTTTGGATTATTATAAGATTAACTATCACAAACATGACAATTCTTCCCAAATTAACTTTTAATTTATCAAAATTCAAATCAAAACCCAAGCTAGCTCTGGATCTAACATAATTACACTAATGTGTTTAACTGTAAGAATTACTAAGAAAACTTTGAGTAATTTAGAAATAATGTAGACTTTTACAGACGCAAAAGAAATTTTAATTGGAGAAAATAGACTGAATATCAATTACTGAACACAGAAAAGCTAACGCTGGAGTGACACAACAACAAATAATAGACATGACAACATAAAAATTAGAAAAGTATAAAGATTTAAACACATTTTACATTTTCAAACACAACTGGGAAAATCTAAAAACAAATATGGATGGGAAAGGGTTAACAGTTCTAATACAGTAGTGCTCATAGAAATCAGGTGAAAATTAGTCCCTTTAGGGAAATACATGATGGATACCAACAGGTTACTTTAAGAAGAGGAAATGCGAGGTGGACAGAGACGTTCCTGTCCTGCAGCACTAGGAGAAACGGCTCTGGCAAGTTCTGGAAACACATACTCAACTGAGTGCCTGCCAGGAGGCTTTCTTTTATTTCCACTGTAGGGTTTTCTAGCTCAGTCAGACCTCCATTCAGTCCTTTAATGATACAGGGATGCTTATGATGTCCTTCAAAAGTCCAGTGATTCTCGTCCTTTCCTAACTGGGCTCATCTCCACTCCGCGTTCGCTGGACTGCTTATCCGACAGTTTCTCAGGCAGCTACAACCTGCATGTTAACGTGTAGCAGGAGTACTCTCCAAGGCCAAACTTTATCCGCAAACCACAAAATAACTGGGAGATCAAAAGGCGGCCTGCATGACCCTCGCAGCCAACTCTGCACGAGTATTAGCAGGCAACTGCAGCATGCGGAGGCCTGCTGTGCACACAGGCTCTGGCCGCGCTCCCTGCCTGGGGTCTGCACTCCACCCACACACGGGCACAAACGCTGGGTGAAATTCATGGAGAATAAAACCAACCACCTTGAAGGGAACAATCCAATAGCATTTCACAGATCCACAATCCTGTGCAGCCACCACCTCCATTTCACTGATGTTAACATATTTTCAAAGCAGACACAGCAGTGAATGAACTGCTGTGCAGAATATCTAAAGTAGCCTATGTGTGAAAGAAATGCAAAAATTGTTTAATGAAATTAAATCTCTTTCTTGTCAAGACAATTCGAAGGACTGAATGACATGGTGACTCTCATAAACAGATGATGAAGCTGGCAAAATTCATTAGCAAAATCAATTTAGCAAAAATATCTATGAACAGATTCCAAGTTATACCTACTTTAATTCAATTTCACCCTTGGGGCTTTACATTAGAAAGAAATTTAAAGGCAAAAAAACTCATAAAAGATATCTGAAACAGTTTCATTAAAATATGGTGAAGGGGAAGAAAAAAAGAAAATGGGGAATAAAAAGAACATGTGAACATGCCAAGTAGCCAAAGAAAATATACCACAGCCACTACTGAGGGTGTCCATTCATGTTCCGTAACAACCTTTTAAACGCTGTGTGAGTATTGTCTTCACCTGTTAAAAATTCAGACATTCAACTTCATAATATGTTTTTAACTATCCCACCCTTGTCTTTAGAAAAGTAAAAGAAAAAAGTCAACTCCTCAGTGGTTCTTCTTCCTGGGGCGAGTAGAAGGGAGGGGATTCTCAAACCCCTGCCCCCAGCTCTCTGCAGGGGAACCGCATTGCTCAAGGAGCACAAGCTCGGACTCAAACCATCTGGCTTGGAATCCTGGGCTGCTGGCTGTGTAACATCAACTGAGTGACCGACACCGCTCTGTGCCTCAGTTTCCTCATGTGAAAAGTGGCAAGCTTGCATGTCAAGTACTTGATAGTGCCTGATACACGACGAGCCCTCAGAGGCGTTACTGACAGTTTAGTGACCTGCTGCTGCTGTACCAGGCCAAGGTCAATAGAATACGGACCCTAACACCCACACTTCTCACAGACTATCACAAGAGGACAAAGAAGGTCTGTCACAGTCCTAACTCCAACAGATCTCCAGGAGCTGCAGTCTTCGAAGTTTTATGCTCAGGTTCTCCCTGTGAATCTAGGCGCCCTTTGGAGCCCTCATCTAACTACGTTTTGCATTTCTCATGGTGTAGTCCTTCACGCTCATGCTCATCCCCGTTACCGCCACGCAAAGAACAGGAAGACAGCCACATTTAAGTTAACTGCATCACGCCGAGTTTGGGGGGAACCAGAACAACCCATGGTTTTCTTTATCAGTGGTCGTAACACCATTACAGAGTACAAGGACATAACCTGAGTACTCATGTAATACAGTATTATCCAGACATGACTAAAGCAAGGTGAGATTTGGCTAGAAAGAGGACAAGAGCAATCAGCTACCTCTATGCTTACTCCTGGATGTCTGTAACTCATCTGTGTAGTTCTTGTCCAATGACAGAAATTGAGGTTAAGACCAAACAGAATGGAGTAACGCATGGACATGGAACTGGTATTCCTCTGGCATTTTCCTCCAAGGCAGCCATGACCACAAACGCCCTACTGTTAACAAACACAGCTTCAGTGCTATCAGTACCTATATGCACAACTGCCAAATTACAAAGCAAACAGGGTTGTTCTGTGAAAATGTTGCTTTCATTTTTTAGTTATTTAAAATAGGATCCCAGGGCCGGGGATATAGCTCAGAGGCACAGTGCCTGCCTGGCAAACACAAGGTCCTGAGTTTGATTCCCGGTACCAAAAAGAAAAAAAAAAAGACCCCAGTGACAAGATTGCTGCACAAAACAGATAAAGGAAAAACTGTACTGATTCATCTTTTATGTCACACAACTTTTCCTAACAGGACTGGAAGGGACTTGAGAATAAGAATTCTGTTTTCTGCAATAAACATGAAATGGGGAAAGCAATCCTTCTTGTCTTTTACTGGTTGTCACTAACCATAGCAGCTATACTAACTAATGTGGCAATAACCATCCCATGCTCTTGGAAGCTGTACAGCAGCATTAAGGCTGAATGTTTGTGGCCACCCCCATTCATATGTGGACACTCTACCTTCCAATGGATGTATTAAGAGTTGAGGTCTTCAAAGGATAATCCAGATTAGATGAAGTCATGAGGGCAGAACCACCACAAATGGGATTAGTTTCCTTATAAGAGTCATGGGAGAGGCGGCTTCCCCACACTGCTCTCCGCCATTCAGGGAGGAAAAGTTGGCAGTCTGTGACCCAGGAGAGGACCCTCACTAGAATCTGACCTATGCGAACCCTGCAATTGTGACCTTTCAGCCTCCAGAACCGTAAGAAATGCATTTCTGTTGTTTCCAAGCCACTGGTCCATGGCGCTCTGGTATAGTAAGCTAAAACAGGAACCGTGCCTGGGTCCCTCACCTGTCACTGAGTGACAGACATGTAAGTGGCATTTGCCAAGTTCACTGTGGACAAGTTCACTGTGTGCTCAATGAGTGACGTGGCCCTGAGAAGCCAGAACCTAAATTTGCACTGACCACAGAAGCTGGTTCATTCTTTAATCTCAAGCACAGGGTAAGGCTTGCCCTTTTGCCTGGCAATATGTAACGTAACTGCTCTATTGTACGAAGACTTGAAAACTTTAAAACTATTCCTTAGAAACCAACAGTAACTAACAATATAGTTTTATAATACAAATACAATCATAATATGGATTCCTTCATGTTGGTTTGGACCCACAGTTCATGGCTTGTAACTTCCATGGCCCTTGTTGTTCCCTAAATGACTGGAACAATAAGGTGAAGTATTTACCTTTTATTCTTGATTTTGCCACAACTTCAGAACAACAAAGGTAAAGCTAGGTTGGGTACTTTAGGCTATGGAAAGCAAAATCTCTGACCTTGTCCTGGCCTCCTCCTACCCATTCTG